CTGTGTATTGCTACAACTACGAAGAGTTGTAGAGGTACCTGATATAATGGTTGCAGGTTGTAAAACAGGATGAAAGGGTCTCTAAAAATATAACAGACTTAATCCTCAGCGAGTATAAATTGACATTTATGGAGCTGCATCAGATTATACTATCTGGGATGTGGATTTAAAAAGAGACAAATTCTGTTCTCTGATACAGTGTTCTACATCTGCAATAAATCAGCTCAGTGAGTAAATGAAATATGTGAGAAAAGACAGTTTCTGTATGTTATTTGTTGCTGGTTTATTTCATTATGAACAGCTATGCCTTTAACTGGGGCAGGTTCAGTCTTTCACTAGTCAGCTTTTATGTTTTATTACCTTATCAATAATGAATCTGCATGAATATGTAATAACCAGCTATTTAATTAATGCATTCAACACTGTGAGACTAGTGATGAGTAAAATCTATACTCTTTTTAGAAAAAGAATATAGAATATGAAGAAACCTCTATTGCAGATTCCTTTTCTGTTTTTTACTCAACATCATAGTCAGATCAATGATTCAAAGTAATAGTTGATTTCCACTTCAGATCTTTTAAGAAAAAGGAAAGTTGGATATCTAGAGAAGGAAAGAGGAATAATAATTGCAATACATATGTATTCTTAAAAACAGAATATTGTTTAAGAGAAAACACTGAAACTAATATCTATCCTTTGGAAATATCAGCAAAAGGAAGGTGGTGTTACAGCTCTGATATGAAGGTGTTTGCATTTGGCTGTTGTTGAAGATGTGTGTAGTTCAGCGAAGACAGTGGGATTATTCATTTAATATTAATTGTATAAAGGGTTTGCCAGATTTTAGTCTTTGTTACTACATGCTAAAATCTCCCTAGCTTGAAAACAGGAAAACAAGAGGGTAGATGCCAGGAGATGTGGGTAGTTTACTGTAAGGTGTTTAGCCGTTCATATTCCCTTTCTGAGGTCAATTTCTACCCGAGTTAAGAGTGTCTTGTGATTTTGGAGGGCAAAGTATTCTCTGTGACACTGGATTTCTTGTGTTTTACATCCGAAAATCCAATCCAGTAGAAAAAAGTGCTAATGTTGTTTTTAAGTAAAATAATACTTGTCATTATTATGGTAATATCATCTTTGTATGCCTCTCAGAGGTAAATACTCTTTTGTTAGATTAACACTGTACAGAAGGACTCCAGGCAAAGGATCGTGTTTCATTCTTTTTTTCTTCTGTAATTTTGGCTGTCACCCTATTTGACTAAAATACCACCTAGTGCTTTCAGATAGATCTGTGACTCAGAACTAGTGTCAATTAAATAGTATTCACAAACAATTTATTCAGAATATTGCCAAATTTTGTCATGTCATTCTTTTTTATGTGTGATACTAGCTCTTCTAAAGCCAGGATAATATTCAGATTTTTTTAGTAGGTCTGTTTTTGCTGTTGATCTGAAAACCTTACTGATAATGGAAATGGGTAGAAGTCCCAACAGAGAAAGAAGAAAACAGAGTGGACTAATAGGATAAATTGTATTAGTGATAGAAATGTTCTATTATTTAGTCCTTGCATTAATAAGCAATTCACCAGCGCACATAGTTCCATTGATAAGAACATAATCTACATCCCTGCTTGTCATGGTAGCAAGTGTCTTACTGTGTAAGTAATTTCTTTGATTTTTTAAAAAGGATTTTGGAAGACACTTTGCTGTCATGCTTGCTCTCTTACAAACGAGGCAGAGATAATCTGATTCAGAGTGGATAAACAATTCCATTTATTTTTTTTTTCCTCAAAGTCTACTTACAGTTCTCTTGGCTTCCATCACCATGTATAGAGCAAATTGATTACCAGTCGCTCTCTCTCCATTGTATTTCTTCAGTGCTGTGTCGACAGCTTTAAAGACATCAGGGTCATCACAGTCCAAAAACTCAAATGGAAGAGGGGTGGCTCTAGTAGAGAAAAAACTACAGCAGAGTGCTAGTACAATTAAAGGTTTCATAATTGGACAAAAAAGGCCCCCTGAATTAGAAGGCTCTTTAAAAACCAAATGGAAAACTAATCCCTGACAGGGTTTTAGTCACCTCTTCTGTTTTTCAGGGGCAGTAGGTAAGCAAACAGAATGAGTGGATGCTGGGGTTGGTTGGCTCTCATCATACCTTGTTTATACTGCAAATAAGCTTCTGAGTTTATCTAAATAAACTTTGTGTGGTCACCAGAATGACACTAAGGTTATCCACCTGCCATCAAGATAACAGGCTAAATGGCTGCAGCTGGGGACAGGTTTAGACTAAGCAGGATGGCCCCTGAGCAAAACACAAAGCTGAATGTTTGTAGCTTTCTGGCTTCTTTTCTTAATGTCTAAACTGCTACTGAGAATGAATTTTAGAAGGCTTAAATAAAACACCCAAGAAGGTCACAGTGACAATGTAGTCCTGGTTCTGGACAACAACTCTGTAAATTTTATAAATCTGTTTAGTATTCAGACTGTGATACTTGTGAGAAATCAGAACATGTTTGAAAAAAGTCTTTGGACAGATGCATATCATTGAATGTCACATAACTCTTCAATAACACTCGATAAACCTTGTCCTTTACACTGCTGTTGAAAGTGTCCATCTTTGCCGCCATGTGAAGACTGCCTCTGGACCATGGATTAGTCAGTCTTCATAGTGTTTTGTTATCATTACAGATAGGGAAAGCGATGCCCAAGAACAAGGAATTAAGTAATGTTGCCTGTGTCTGGCAGAGACAGAGTTAGAGCTAACTGGGAACATCTGGTGCTTGTCTCCAGTCTTGAGCACCGAATAGCTTTGAATCTGTGAACACCTTGGCATCGCTTCAGCTCCAGTGTTCCAATGCGTCTTGCTACAAGTTTTGGTTAAAGAGAATGCGTTTTAGAGACTTCGAGGATAAACTATGGCAGAAATAAAGTTGTTCAAACATGATAACGCCCTTTTAAAAATTAGACAACCTTCATCAGTTACACAAAATGCTGTCCCCACTTTGTTGCTTTTTCTTCAATGTAGACCTCACTCTGTATTTTACTTTATGCCATTAAAAACCTACTTTGAGGACAAAACTACCAATTTTTTGAGATTAATCCCATGTTCTTGCTGATGAGATAACTATTCTGAACTCACTCTTTGGGTTCCCAGATCTATCTGAGCATATTTTACCTTGATGGGTGCTAAAGTATAAAGAGACACCAGTATTCTTTCTTCCTGCTCCTCCCAACTCAGTTTCCAGCGAGGAAGGTTCAGTGATAAAGAAAAACATTTACATGAAAGAGTTATTACATGCATCTGCTTTTCTCCTCCCCTGAGAGCAATTATGAACTATTTGAAAAGGGCTGTCCTTGAATGCAGTGTTTCTGGTATGTCACCACCAGCAGCTGTAGCAATGAAAGTGCCTGTGCAGGCCACCCTGCAGCGTTACGAGTCACTAACAGTTCTCAGACCTTTTCTAGATAACGGTGGTAACCCAACCACCATTAGTCAATTTATGCTAGAGTATGCCTCATGGATGTTTGCTGTGCAGCTAAACATCCATAGTAACAAAAAAGAGAAAACTGGCAACAGTGTCAAGCAAAAAAGCTTACATATTTTCATTTTCTTTGGATCTTTATTAAGCATGAATATAGTGCCATGGATAATTTTTATGGAAGGCGGTCAAATTTCCTCTAGGTGAGATTTCCACAGAGAAGTACATTATAATTCTGATATATGAGAAATTGAAAGATTTTAGATGGTAGTTTTCATTTTTAGGGAATTTTCCTTTTTGTTAGAACTAAAGGAGCATGGTTTGCTGGGCAGATTTGCATCCATTCGTATTATCTGAAGGATTCAGGATTTTGAGCCCTTCAGTTACAATGGAGTCTGAGATAGATGGGATCAAGAAGCAGGTTGAAATGCTTGTCTTAATCATTATTTTCAGTGCTCCTCCTCCCTAGAAATTGTATGCTTTTTTCCTTTTTCTATATGCTGTTTTCATTCATTGTACAACTGTCATAAGCCCTATAACTTTTGAGCTAGGACCATCTTTCTCTGGTGTCAAATAGGAGAATTTTCTGCCACGGAGCTATGTGGAAACAAAGGCAAAATTTTTGGAAGAGTAAGTTTTGGTTTTCCTGGGCATGACTTTGACTGTGTAGGGTGATCTGGAAAACCCAAAGCTTCTAGCATCTCCTTTAGACTTGAGCCAGTGAAGGGAATGCCTTTACCAGTGCTGGAGGAGTGAGAGTTGCTTTGGGATGGCTCAGAAAAGTTTGCAGTGGGAGGTGTGAGAGAATCCTGCTGATTTAGAACTGGAATGCGATAGACAGCTCCTGTTATTTGAAATGGGAAGTGCTTTCCGGATATGCTTGTCTTGTTGCAGTGATGTCTGTAATAGTGATGACAGAGATGAGGAGGATGATGTGGTCCATGAGGAGGCCAATGTGGTCCATGATGGTGAGGAGGATGGTGGTGATGTGGTCCATGAGGAGGGGGAGGAGGACAGTGTGGTCCATGATAGGGACCAAGAGGAGGATTATATGGTTTATCATGGGAAGGAGGAGCAGAAGGAGCATTTTGTGGTTCATCTTGGGGAGAAGGATATGGTTCATCACGGGGAGGAGGAGCAGAAGGGGGATATTGTGGTTCCTTTTGGGGAGGAGGATGTGTTCCATCGTGGGGAGGAGGAGGATGGTGGTGATGTGGTCCACAATGGGGAGGAGGATGGTGGTGATGTGGTCCATGAGGAGGGGGAGGAGGACAGTGTGGTCCATGATAGGGAGGAGGATGGTGGTGATGTGGTCCATGAGGAGGGGGAGGAGGACAGTGTGGTCCATGATAGGGAGGAGGATGGTGGTGATGTGGTCCATGAGGAGGGGGAGGAGGACAGTGTGGTCCATGATAGGGACTAAGAGGAGGATTATGTGGTTTATCATGGGGAGGAGGAGCAGAAGGGAAATGTTGTGGTTCGTCTTGGGGAGGAGGATATGATGCATCACGAGGAGGAGGAGAAGGAGGAGGAGGAGGGTGGTAATGTGGTCCACCATAGGGAGGAGGTGGAGGACAATGGTATGGAGGGTGAAAGTGGTGATGTGGTCCACCGTGGGGGGGAGGAGGAGGAGGAGGAGGAGGAGGGTGGTGATGTGGTCCACCACAGGGAGGAGGTGGAGGACAATGGTATGGAGGGTGAAAGTGGTGATGTGGTCCACCGTGGGGAGGAGGAGGAGGATCAAGTCCTTCATGACTGTCTTGATGTTCTTCGCTGAAACTATGGTTATGCTCAGGGTCTTCAGGTTTGGACTGAGAAGAGAGTGGACATCCATGCCCACGGTGATGTCTGTGACGATGTCTTTGACCAAAATGATGGTGGGGATGGGGGTGCCTGTGTGGCTGTCCCAGAGCTGAATATCCACATCTTTTCCCGTAGTCATGCTGCTGTTTATAAACACACCAGGAGAGGAAATATTAAGTGAGATGTTAATAGGACAGAAGAAAGTGGCGAGAAAGAGAGAGAGGTGCGAGTCAGAAGGTTTGCATTTAGTTTTGGTGATCTGTAATGAAAAAAAACTGATTTTTTGAAGATAGAAGAGAAGGAGTAGATGATAAAATGCAAAATTGCTGAAAATCATCTTGAAATAGTACACCATAATCAAATGGAATGATATAACCAACTGAGCAAAATTTGTGATGGATCAAAACAAAATAAAACCCACTGTGGAGGAGCTGTTATAATATAAATATAAAATGTAATATAAATTGGAATACCAAGTATGGTGAAGATCATCTCCCCTCCTCTTGCTTTCTAAAGTTCCTTTGAACTCATTTGTCAATCTCTACTCACTTTAACTAAGGAGTATGACTGGACTTAAAGAAGACACTCTTGGAAAGAGTAGATGGGACAGCTCAGTTCTAATTCATCCTCTGATTGACCTAGCAGTCAAAACCCTGTCTGTCCTGGCATCCTGCATCACACCCAGGCGGGACAAAGGGACATGAACAGCCCTTGCAGCCGTCTGTCAGTCTGCACTAAGTGAGGCTGCTGTAGGCTGTGAGAGGATACAGCCAGAGGCATTTCAGTGAGTACGTACCCAGGGATGGTAGATTTCACAGCTTATGTCTGTTCCATCAGATTCATCTGGATCACTGATAATTCTTGCCTTGCAGAATCCCACATGCTAAGCAAAAGAAAAGAAAAAAAAAAAACCCACAACAATGCACATCTGAGTTCTTGTGATGGAGTTAACAGAAGCTATTGAAAGTTCAAAGTTTTAAGAGTTAGGCTAGTTCCTTCGATACCTAAGGATGTTTGCATAACTTAACTAGATCCTGAGCTTTCTGACCAGTGACGCTTGCCAGTGACTAATAATGATTAAAATATACACCGGTTTTGAGTGTTCTTGACTGTGAAGACCACTTTGCCATGTGCATCTAGAGGGCTACTACTCTCCATCTTCCTTCTCTTTTGATGTCTGTGAGAAATTGGTCAGCTACTGATGTCTCCAAAACGAGTATGCTGTGGGTAACTGATTTTTATTCCTCGTTTTCTGTCCTTACTTGTCAAACATCTCTTCAGACTGGCTACTCTAAAATTTTGCACAAAGTCCTCAAAACCAGACATTGTGTAGCTATGCTGCTTCAAAGCTGCGGGTAGACCTTTCTTCTATATGTATTTTTTTAAAAGTAAATTGTTGTAATTTTTTAGCATTACTTCCCTTAGCATCCTGTTTGCTGTGACTTTCATCTGCTCTTCAGTCGTTGTGTGTGGAATTGCTTGTGTGAAAGAGCACAGAACTCGGATAAGAGGCTCTGTGGATGCTCTCTGTAGTGGATGCTTTATCTTGATGTATGTTTGGGCCATTAGTAGCCTATCACGATCAATGATTACAAGCGTTAATATATTTTACACACACACTGAGCAGTGGTTGCAGCATTGAGAAGAGAATTCAAAACCTCTCACTATCTGGCTTGTGCTTTGTTCTAGTGAACTTCTGGCTCTGCTACCTGTTCATTCACAACCTTTTCCAGTCTTCTGGACTATGAAGAGCCAGAGGAGAGAATGGATGTGGATAAAACAAAAGTTCTATATGTTTTATTTTTCCCATATTTTTATTTCATTCCTCTGATTTCACTTCTGGGGAATAATATATTCTGAATTTATGATCTTGCCTAGTTGTTTTTGTGGTGTAGGCTATTATTGTAATGGGAAGGTGGGGTGAGGAGAGTACTTTGATATTAATCTGCAGACAAGCCTGAATTATTCCACTCTCCATTCCCCTACAGTAGAGGAAAAAGAAAGTAACCCTGGGCTCACTGGGATGACATATGTGTTTTTTTCAAGATCTATGACTCATGTTAATGCAAAAGTTTTTATGAAAATAGCATAAATTAATTACTAGGGAATGGCCAAAATTTGAATATGAAAGCCAGATCTAAACTAAAAAACTCAGCTCTAGGTCTGTAATATGCCAGACTCCAGTTACATTTAGATTTGAGAGTAGTTTGGCTCCTTATAGAATAAAAAGCAGCAGCTATAAAGTTAGGATCTGGACTCGGACATGCCGGATTTTTAATTTTGAGTTTGGGTGCATGCTTATAAGAAACACTTGAAAATATTCTGGGAAGATCTTCCTGGTACCACCCATTGTATCAGTTCTCATTCTAAGACTTTACTTACAGCGTGCCAGTCATCCAGAAAATCACATTCCAATGCCTGATCTTCTTGGTGTGTGGATTTGGAGCAGTTGGTCTCTTTTATAGAGAATCCTAAAAAGTGACCTTCACGGGAGGCAGTCTGAAACCAAGAGGTAAACCAAGAAGTGGTAACTAGGAGTATTTAAAGTCCTGTAATTTTAAAAGCAATCATACTTCATATTGTTGTCAAAATCCTGCCTACCTCACGCTTTCATTATTTGTGCTGTTCATACATATACGCATATTCAGCAAGGAAAATAGATTAGATAATTTGTACCATACTTGCCTCATGCTTTTTTGAGTTCCAGGAATGATTGATTTACTTCTTTGGTTAGTGGGTGTATGTTATAAAACCTGTTACTTCTACACCCTGTGTTTTTAGGAAGTAGCGTCCTTAAAGTCTGCTCTCTAAATTGAACTGCTACTCCTGTGAAAACACAGAGATCTACTGGATGGCAACCACCATTCTCTCACCAGTGATGAGAATGCATAGTACTACAGTGCTGATGTTAATTTGGGATTAAATTCTGCCACTGTGAGATTGTTACTTCTCTGTTTTCAGTGGCATTATTCATAGAGAAGGCATTACTCCATAAGAACCTGGGAGAAGGCCTTTGTAATCCTATTAAAATCCATAAAGAGGTATTTCGTTTTAATTTCCAACTGTAGTAGTAGTTTATTTCAAGTCTATGTCGAAGGTGTCCATATCATGTGCATGCTCAGAAGCTTCACTAGTTTAACTAAATTGGATAAAGTGAAGAACTCTTGTCAGTAGCAAACAAATTCTTGTATGTTACGAGATGATAGGTAAACAGGCATTCAGAATAAAATATGCACACAAAGAAGGCTCTGACTTCCTGAATACCATCACACTGACATAGTTTTTAGCAAATGAGAAATCCTTTTGCTTTCCCATGCCTGAATTAAAGTTGATAAGAAGTCTTTGCAGAAGTAGGACCTTCAATATTAAGCAGATGATTTACACTGAGAGGTGACAAGGAATAGTTCTGGTCCTAGAAGGGTTTGAGCTCTTGTCCAATGGTTTTGGAGCTACTTACAAAGTTTTGTTGTTTATAAGTAATTCTAGGACAAAATGCCACTTACCATCTTTAAAATCTTTTCAACTTTGTCCACATCGAAGTAGTTTGTGTGGTTACTCTCACTGTTGAATTTCTGCAAGGCCTTTGCAGCAATATTTTTATGTTGCTTGGTGACTTCTAAGACTTCAACTTTCACAGGACAATCTTTGCACTCTAACAAATCAGGAGGAACTGTGAAAACAGAGAATATACTAATATTACAATGGATTTTAATACTTTTGGGAGTGTGCATATGCCTTTGATGTGAACTCACAATGAAAAACTAAAATGTAAGCTTTTCTTGGAAGTGAAGTACCTGTCCCTCACTCTACAAATACGAGTTTGTCCTGTAATGTGAAAAAAACCTCCAAACCTGTGAAAACAAATATTCTTATAAATCTTTTAGTTCCACCTTAAAATCTTACCACCCCAAATGGACATTCTTTCCAAGTTTACTTTTTTTCTGATCTTCATTATCATGTTTTGGTGGACTGGAATGGTGATATCATCTGATATTAATAAAGTCTGCTTTAGAAGAGTAGGGTAACCTTAATTCTATTACTCATTCTTAACATTCCATTTGAATTATCTAAAATATGAATTGCAAGCAGATGAGTGAATCTGTTACGGTTACCATACACTAGTAGTGCACAAACTTGTAATTTGGTACTAGGGCTGGTTTGAGATATGCATTGGCTTACAATAGTGGTTATTTTACCTGGACTTAATGTACAATTATATCCATATAGTTGAGGTTTCTTCAGCAGCTGGCTTGTATATGTGATAATCTTACATTGCCCAAAGTCCTGAGAGGAAAAAAGAATACGTGATTATGACAGGGTTTTCACTGGAGTTAATTGGATGTAGGTGATCGTAGAAATTATGCCTCTTTTTAATGTGCAGTACTTCTAAGAATAACAGATGTGGTCATTAATGGAATGTTTGATCTGGTACCACTCTAAATTTGTGTTCAGATAAGATGAGATCTCACTATACAAGAACTTTTATTTTAATTCTCAGTTTGCACAACTGAGTAGACAACGGAAAACTAAACCAGCCTTCCCAGTCATTCTAATACTTATTTAGAGTAAGATAAAACTAGCTAGAGAGTAAGTTAGGATGCCAGAAATACTCAAGGTTACATAAACGTTTATCAGAAAGTGAATGGAATGGACCTCTCCTCTCCTCTCCTCTCCTCTCCTCTCCTCTCCTCTCCTCTCCTCTCCTCATGGCTTTCCTGCTTTGTCCTGTGTGGTAGTATCACCACTCTCCTATTTAAATAAAGTTTTGGACTGTTAGTTCTAATCCCAGACTGTATCACTGGACTGCAGCAATAAAGGGCAGGTATTGCTACACAGCATATGTGTACTGACACTACCAATATTTCACACTGACATACCACAAATGCTATGACAGAAAACTGACAAAATATAACACTGGTATTTCTGGCTAATATAGTAGGAACATGCTTAAAAAAAATAATTTCTAGTGCCCTTTAGTTGTCAGCAAATTATTCTTAAAACATCAGTGCCGTTACCAGCAATGGAATGGGGAGTACAGCTCCTTTGAGACAACTATTTAAATAAAGGTGCACTTATTTGAGGAGTCAACTCTTTTCCAAACCTTTAGCTTAAGTTTAGCAACTCCAGAATTCAATAGATTTTATCTTATAGTGAGCCATTTTAAAGCCTAGTCTTCACTTAGAGATTTTGTGATACAGAAATTTCTGGGTAGTTCAAATGAAGATCAAATTAGTAGGTTATTGACACATGACTCTGGCTGGGTGCCACTACTTGCCATGGGATACGTGTCACTGTATTCACAAGACTCCCAGTGTCTTCTGGATAATACAGAGCATTCAGTTTCCAGCACATCCAAAGTTAAGTAGAGGACTGATGAATTTCCCTGGAAGAGAAGTGCAGGTAAAAAAGAGTTTGCATACAAGAAATTTGGTCCTAAAGAAACTTTATTGAAGTAGATATGTTTAATGTAGCTTCCCCAGTTCCCTGTTAAGGTTTTTCTGAGCTGACAAGCTTAGAAAAGGTTTAGGCTGCAAGAGACCTTTGGAGATTGTCTGTCCAGCCACCTGCTCAAGGCAAAGCCAACTTCAAAGTTAGATTCACCTGAGTTCTATGTATCACCAAGACAGATGTTCCACAACTTCTCTGGGCTGTTCCAGTACTTAACCACTTTCTCCATGATTTTTTTTTTGGCCTTACATCTAGTCAAAATTTCCTTCCTGCAACTTATACCCGTTGCCTGTTGTGCTTTTGTCGAGAACCTGTGAGAAGAGTCTGTTGTTAACCTGGCATCCATCAAGCAGGGAAAATGCCAGAGTTAAGAAGTTGCCATTCCCTCTTTCTGATTTTCACATAGATCATATTGATCTATCAGGAAACCAGTTGTTTAGGCAGCCAATTATATATAGCTACATCCATTTCAGATGGCCTTAGTGATGCAACAAAGCTGTAGTAATCCCTACAAAATCAGGAGTCTTAGCTCTGAATTTATTCTAGTATGTTCTGTCTCCTGAGCAAATAGGATGGAGAATCAGAATTTGAATTTGGCTGCCAGCGTAGTGGGATGTGGTGTTAAAAATTGTTTGTGGCCCACAGAAACAGTTTTGAATTTTTCTGTAGGAAAATGAAGCTCAATTCACATTTGGAATGGATTATTTAAACTTCATGCAACCCCTGTATGGACATTCAGAATGAACACAGATGTATTTTATTTTGTCATTTAGATAAAATGATGCAAAGCCCTTCACTGTGAATAAGTGTCCTCAGGTTTTATGAAATTTCATCCATTCAAATTCCTTTTTCAGGGTGTTTCTATATAGATAAGACCTTGAGAAAGAATTACTGCAGCCTGGTGTAATGTTTTTATTAGTAAGAGTCCATCAGTGTCACGTTAAGCACTAGTTTTGCGTTATGTGTATATCTTAGCATTGTCTCTATTTTTAAAATAGGGGCTAGTTGGTTTGCACAAAGACACATGTCGTTCAATGGCAGAATCAGGAAAATAATATAGTTATCCTGGACACCCATCCTGCCCACTAGACATATGATTATGCTCTGCTTAGGGGTAGTTAGTATTTCTACTTTATTTTATAAATCTCAATAATTTCAAGCTGCTAGTCAATATATTAGTAAAATACAGGCAGAGAAAATAACAGAGACAGTGAGAAAGACTATTTTTTCTTGTTTGTATTTATGGAATTGCCCTGACTGGAAAGGTAAGATAGGTCAGAGAGTCCTTTGTAAAATGTGCTATTCCCTAGGAACCCTGTAAAACTGAAATGACTAAATACATTCACTTTGCCATCCAAACTTCTGAAATGCTAAAGACCC